GCGAAGTAGCGGCGCTGGCACCACCCGCGGTCGCTGATTAGGGACATGATTCCTTTGGCGACGAGGTCGGCCACGGAGATCGTGGTGAGCAGGAAGGGCGCCTCGTTCCGCATGCCCAGGTCTACTCCCAAAGCCGGGAGATATGTGATAAAGTTCATGTATACCTGTCGATTATTTTTTTTTTCGATTTTACTGTGCATACGTGTATAAGCAAAGGAAAGCTTGACTCTACGAAACTGTGAAAGATTGATCAGATATATTTCAGTATATTTCTAATTTGCATTGTATCTGAGAACTTGCAAGCGCCTCTCCCCCCGTTGAATAAATATTCGTAATGACCAACTGATACAAAATCCCATCAGGCCAACATTAATTTGACGTCTATCAGTATGAAAGAAACACAGGCACTACATGTTTGAAAGGAAACTTCAGTTCACCAAGATGAAAATCGAAACCATCTGTTTTTTTCTTGTTAGAATGAAGCTTACCATTCTGTTAGCGATGCTAGATATGGACGAGATGAGGAACATGGGGTGGGACAATATCCTAAAATTCAGTATATCAGAAAAACGAGGGAACTTCAGCCCGCACAGGAGAATGGGCTGCGGTTCTTTCGGCTTCTCTTCGGCCGTTTCCACAACTTCGACATACACATCTTTCAGTCTTTCCGTTTCGACAGAGAGGGCGCCGCCGAACTGGTCGATGACGTCACACGAACTGTACAAACTGTTTCGAACGGAGGTTCTGGTACAACTGCTGAGCCTCCGTCTGCCTCCCCCCAAGGGCTTCTCACTGCTCTCTCTGCCGAGGAACACCTCCGCTTCCCCCTTGGACGCGGCAGACTCTCGGCGTCTTTGGGGGTCAGAGTGCCGGTGAGCGACGCCTTGCTGAAGGCCTTCTTCCTCCCCCTCTTCATATTCAGCTTCACTCTCGCTGGGACATGAGCCATCCTGATTGCCATCCTCTACTTCTTCATCGTCAGCATCAGCGACATGGCCCTCTTCCTGGCACTGCCTGGTCTCGATCAGGCGAACGCTGGCCAGCGGGTTGGGCTTCAAGTGCCACTCGATCGGCTGGAAGAGAGCGGCGCCCACGATGCCGTGCAGCAGGATAGCCGACCACAGCATGAGGGCGCCCTGGTGGGCGTACGTGTTGGCGAGGAACCTGACGAGGGGCGGCATTACCATGAAGCCCAGCGAGGATCCCAGCATCGAGAGGGCGTTGGCGGCCACCCTCTTTTGGCGGAAGTACATCTGGCCCAGGATGAAGCCGTGGGGATTCGCCAGCCCATTGCCCACGCCTGGAATGGGCCATGAACTGAAGATCAATACATAAAGACGGAAATTAACAACGGTTCAGCTCACATTACATAATACACACACACACACAGATATATATATCCAATATATATATATATCCAATTAGATTAAGGAAAGACGAATATAAATACCTAGGTAGTAGAGTTGTCACGAGGCAGAAAACAAGGAATATATAAGCTAGTATTTGTTCATGTCAGATATCTTGAACCTTCCCCAATGATTTTAAAGGTCTTGAGAGCAACTGTGAATAATACCTATTTGTCATTCCGAAAGTCGAGTTTGAACCGATCTTTCCCGAAACGCACACTATGAATATGACTGTCACCTACTCTATAATATTATCTCCTTTTTTTCAAAGAAGGAATGACGCAGGCCGCTTACCCCCAATGAGGCCAAAGCAGACATAATACCAGTAGAGATCATCCCAGAAGGAACACAGGAAAATGCCCATCACCGTGAAGCAGATCCCAATGATACTCAGACGTCGGTGGCTGTAGTAACGGGTGAGACTTGTTGCTACGGGACCTGTGGGTACCAGTTATAGATTTAAAAAACATTTTATCTAAAATAAAACAATGATTCCTATCTTACCTAGCTTCTATGGCCTTATCAACTATCAACTATAATGATGGGTTTTCGTCTCTTCACTGACTGCAACTAATTCACTAATTTTGCAAACAACAGTAAAAATCTAAACAAAAAGGATCTCTAATGTAAAACAAGACACACCTATTACCCACATTCCTTGAAAACTGAGTCTAGAATGAGAACTCAACTTACCTGTTAGGCACGCCATACCGAACATGAGGCCGGGAATGGGCGACACCTGGCTGTTCGTGTATCCGGACGCCACCAGGTGCACGTAGATCAGGCCGAAGCAAGTCGAGAGACTCGGGAGTACAAACTACGAGACACGCAGAGATTTGTGTTTATATGTTTATAGAGATATAAATACATGAATCGAAATTTTATCAACGAGAACATATGCTGTCACTGTTTTTTTCTTTCTCTTTCATTTATAGCACAAAACTTTATCACCTTCCCTACCTGCATGATACCACTACCAAGCACGATGAACCAACCCCAGCCACCATCCGGGGGAACCAGCTCCTCGACAGGTGGTCCTCTCGCCTTCGCCTGAGGCCCACCTCCCTCCGTGGGGGGTTCTCTGCTCTTGGCTTCACCCGAAGGAAATTCCGGTTTTGTTTTGGACGATGTCATTGAAGGTTTGAAATAGACATGATATTTGATTTAAAGGCTAATATTAAATGGGATGTTGGATGTGGTGCAGTACTTTATTTGGAGATTTATGAGATATAAAAATATTTTTTTCTTTCTCTTCATTTATAGCACAAAACTTTATCACCTTCCCTACCTGCATGATACCACTACCAAGCACAATGAACCAACCCCAGCCACCATCCGGGGGAACCAGCTCCTCGACAGGTTGAAGGTTTATAATACTGCAGATGTAATGCCGATATTCAAAGTTTATACAACACGTGGCAGATATTGATTTAAGTCCAAAGTTAGCGCAATCTATAGCAGACACCATACAGTATGCCAGTCAGTGTTTTCGTTCAAGTATTCTGATATTCACAACATAATATCATATCGACTCTCATTTCAAGTTATTTACCTCAGTTTACTCTTAGGCTTAAATCGATATCACTCAAATACCATTTACATAAAATTTAAAATAACTTCATAAAGATCAGGACTAAAGACGAAAACAGCGAAACACTGAACACTAACAACTCAATCTAATTTCATCAAAATAACAAACAAACACGAACGGAAGTCCAAACCCAAAGTCTTACCCATGATGCGAAGATGAAGACAACAGAAGAAAGACGAGAAGATGAAGAATGCGACACGAGGGTGAAAAGAAGCAGGCCTCGTCTATGGCGTTACCATCCTGTTGGCCATCGAAATTTAATCGTGTCTGGAAATATATACATATATACATATATATATATATATATATATATATATATATATATATATATATATATATATATATATATACATACATATATATATATATATATATATATATATATATATATATATATATATATATATATATACATACATATATATATATATATATATATATATATATATATATATATATATATATATATATATATATATATATATATAATGTGTGTGTGTGTGTGTATATGTATATATATATATATATATATATATATATATATATATATATATATATATATATATATATATATACATATATATGTATATATATATATATATATATATATATATATATATATATATATATATATATATATATATATATATATATATATATATATATATATATATATATATATATATATATATATATATATATATATATATATATATACATATATATATATATATATATATATATATATATATATATATATATATATATATATATATATATATATATATATATATATATTTATATGTATAATAATAATAATAATAATAATAATAATAATAATAATAATAATAATAACAATAATAATAATAATAATAATGATAATAACAATAATAATAATATTAATAATAATAATAATAATAATGATAATAATAAAGATGATGCTAATGATGATAATAAAAAAAAAAAAAAATAATAATAATAATAACAATAATGATACTAATAAAAATAGTAATAATAACAACAATAACAATAACATCAACAACAGCAGCAGTAATAATAATGATAATAGTAATAATAATTATAACAATAACAACAACAACAGCCATATTAGTAATAATAAAGATAATGATAATAACAATTGTAATAATAATAATAATAATAAAAATGATAATAATAATAATTATAGTGATAATGATATGAATAATAACAATAACAAAGATGATAATAAGAATGACAGTAATGATGATAATAATAATAATAATAATAATAAAAATGATGATGATGATGATGATAATAATGATAATAATAATAATAAAATAATGATAATAGTAATAATAGTAATAATAATAATAATGATAGTAACAATAATAATAATAGTAATAACAATAATGATAACAATAATATAATAATAATAATAATAATAATAATAATAATGATAATAATAGTGATAATGATGATAATAATAATAACAATAATAATAACTGATAATAATAATGACAATAGTAATAATATTTATAATGATAATAATAGTAATAATAATGGTAATAATAATGATAACATTATAATAATAAGGATAATAACAATATAATAATAATAATAATAATAATAATAATAATAATAATAATAATAATAATGATAATGATAGTAATAATAATAACAATAATAATAACATTGATAACAATAATGACAATAGTAATAATATTTATAATGATAATAATAGTAATGATAATGGTAAGAATAATGATAATAATGATAATAATAATAATAATAATAATGATAATAATAATAATAATAATAATGATAATAATGATAATGATAATAATAATTATTATAATAATAACAATAAGAATATAATAACACCAGCAACAATGATAATAATAATGATAATGATAATGATAATAATAATAATAAATAAATAAACAGATAATAATAATAAATAAATAAATAAACAATAATAATAAAATAATAATATTGATAAGACTTATAGTAACAATATAATAATA